CGAATGCGATCATTTTATTATTTTTATCACTGTTATTGTAATATTTACAATTAACGCGTTAAGTACTGTGTTAAGTCACTTTTCTGTTCACGAAATAATGCCTAAAATATTCAATTCCCGTCGTATCGACGGGTTCCGTAAATGTAGCGTTAACTCAAACTGGACTCGCCAAAGATACTTTTGTTCTGAAAAGAAGACTATCGATCGGAATGGTCGTTGTTCGGAGCGGCACTGTAACAGCCGTAACAGGGGAAGAATATGCGTGCAGCGGAAAAGGGGATAGCGGGAAAAAAGGAACGGTAATAACATTGCCCGGTAATTCCCAACGGGGTTACTGTCACCGCTCCTCGCCGGGTAGATTTAGAAATTTGTGGAGGTATTTAGTTGCCGCGCCACTAGCCCCGGGAAATTGTTATACATTAATTATACAGCTTCGAAACGTAATTATACTCGCGAAGGCTCCATTAAAAAGTTCGAAACGGCGCGGCCCGGCGCGATGCGGCGCGACTCGATGGTGTCGGGTTGCCAAAGCGTTCGCTGGTGTGAGGTATCAATCGGGAGATCAAATTAACAGGAATTTCTTTTGCTAACCGAATTCGCGTACCACGGGATATATAAATACGCACATGATGTGGGGCGTAGGAGGGGAATTGCAATATATATATTACGGTGTTAGCGATTCAGTCGGTGAGATACGGGGAAATGCGTGTTACCGTGTAATGGCTTACTGATCCACCATTTTGTTCCGCTATGCGGGACACGCGACGGACAGATATTTCTTGTTATACTCTCCAAACGCGTAAATCGTCGATAATAAATAGTACAGAATATTTCACAGTAAACATTCATTCGCAATTGAAAGTACTCGAAGTAATCTTCAATATCGTTCGAAATAAATCGGTGAAATCAGAAAGACAGTTAACCACAGCTATAATAGAAAATTCACTGATCACAAAATAAAATTGTAATTATATGAATACTTAAACCCGAGTATATTTTACACTGTGAGTAAACATTCATTCGTAATTGGAAATACTCAAAGTAATCTTCAGTATCGTTCGAAATAAATTGGTGAAATCAAGAAGACAGTTAACTACAGCTATCGATAATAGAAAATTCACTGATCACAAAATAAAATTGTAATTATATTAATACTTAAACCCGAGTATATTTTACACTGTAAGTAAACATTCATTCGCGATTGGAAATACTCGAAGTAATCTTCAGTATCGTTCGAAATAAATTGGTGAGATCAAGAAGACAGTTAACTACAGCTATTGATAATAGAAAATTCACTGATCACGAAATAAGATTGTAATTATATTAATACTTAAACTTGAGTATATTTTACGCAAGTAAGCAAGAAACCGGACTAATTATGGGATGCCTCGACATTCCGGCGTAAGCCTGCGCTCGGCAGCTAGCCGTGCCGAACTTCAATTTACCCTTTAATGAAGATTGTTCCCCGGGTGTCGGTCGGTCGATCGAGTTCCTTCGGTGTGACGCGACAACCGTGGCCCGCAGAACGAAGAAATCCCGGTCGATCGGGCTGCGGCACGTCGGCAAAAAGGTGGGACCCATCCGGCTGATTCCAGATTGATAACCGAGGGAACACCGGCTTCGAACGCTGCAAGTTAAGGCCGCGTGACGCGGAGAGCCGGCGCACATATGGAGCTGGATGAGTTTGCGATTAAACGCGATTATAATTAAGGATAATGGAGTTTCGGCGCGGGAGTTCCCGTCGGCTCCGAGTCCCTTCGCAGCTGGCGCCGTTATATCGAGTTCCTGTCGACGAGAAACCCGCGCGGCCCGCTACCGAAAATGCTTCTGGTCATCTAGTTTCTACGGTCGGTGTGCACGTACAAAACGTCCCCGGTGTACTTCGTACACCTTCGACGTACACGTGCACCCCCCTCGCGTCCTCAATGCCCACGACGCTACGTGTTGTCCGTTGCTTCGCGTCCTGCGACGATCCTTCCGTTCATTCCTTCGCAATTTACTCGACAAGACACTGCGAACTATTACCGGGTAAGTTCCGTTCTTAACCCCTTGCCCTACAACAACGAGTCTCACTCGTGGTGAAGATTTTCAACACTATTCAACAAATATATATATTACTCAGTTCCTTCGAATTCGAAGTAAATATTATTCCTCTGTAATCAACTATTATACTTAAAAGGAAATATAGGCGTAACATATGCGTAGAATTTTTCTCTTTTTCCAATAACTTATTAATGACAAAGTAGCTGTATCGATCAGAGTTGAGAAAGAAATCATAGGCCAAGGGGTTAACACGGACGTTGACTCTTTTTTACTCATCTAAAGCTGTTCTGTCCCTTCGACATTAGAACTATCAAATCAAATTCCTCAGTTCCTGATCCTTCCGTTCATTCCTTCGCAATTTACTTGATAAGACACTATGAACTATTACCGGGTAAGTTCCGTTCTTAACACGGACGTTGACTTTTTCTCAGTCGTCTAAACCTGTTCTGTCCCTTCGATATTAGAACTATCAAATCAAATTTCTCAGTTCCTGAATTCTTCTTCTGTGATTACTAAAAGGACGATAGACGCTTCTTCGAGAAATTTCTGAAGAAATTGAGTTAACCCTTTGCGGACGAAGGTTCTTAGAAACATACGAAACCTTCAAGATGAAGTTAAACTATACATCAATTGCTTAAACAATAGAAAATAGGAATTGTGCTGATCTCTTGCTGTTCAAATAATTAAATCGGCTGATCGAGACTTAGTCTTCGAAATACGAAAATTTCATCTCGCCTAAACGTCGACATTCGTCCGCAAAGGGTTAATATGTACAGTATATTTCGAGTGGTCGATTAAAGATCACAATCGAGTACTCTCGTATTCAGTCGGTAGTGCAATCATTTTCTAGCGAATAACACGTGATTTCTCGTTTACAAGTTCTGTCTCGAATAATTCGCGAACGGAAGGGTTGGAAAAAGTTGCATAGAAGCGCAGCGTACTCGAAATGTTTGGGGAGAATCCTGCAAAGATAGCGAGGAGGGGCGGAATTCGACTGTAGGCAAGAAGGAAATCATCCATCTCAATTATGTCGTAATTTCTCCCAGCCAAACGAGCCGTCGAAAGCGTAACCGGGGATGGTAGGGAGGACTTTTCGAATTCTTATCGCGGGCGGAAAAGCCGCGACGATGGAACGCCGGCGATGGAAGATCGCTAGCTGTCCCCGGGGATCCGTTACTCCGGCCCCGTAACCCTACGTGTCTGGAAAAGGATCCGGGGATCCCCGAGAGGCCGATCCCAATTGCATTGTCCGCGGCGAACCGTAGGGCGGCAGTCTTCATTAGCGACTGAGTCACCGGGCTGAACTTATGAGACACGGAATTCAGTGTGTAGATGCACGTGTTCCGGCGTACGTGACGCGCGTATTTATTACCGTGCATCCGGCGATAAATAATCAAACGGAGAGGCTCGCGGGAACGTCGCGAAAGGGAATAGCGTTAAATATTTTAAGGAAGAGAGCTTTCTCGTTCGGTACAAGATTATTCTTCAGCCCACTCTGGATCTCTGGAGTAAAGTTATCCGCAACACCATTTCATTTCGCTTGATCTCTCACAGACGACGATACGCTCGATCGTTCAGTATTCAGACTTGATGATTTCGTTTCGCTTTCATTTAACCCTTTGCGGACGAATGTCGACATTCCGGCGAGATGAAATTTTCATATTTCGAAGACTAAATCACAAAAAGATGATTTAATTACTTGAACATCAAGAGATCACATAGCTTCCTTTTGTTCTAACAATTATACAATTGATATATAATTCAACTTCATCTGTTGAAAGTTTTATGTTTCAAAGAATCTTCGACCGCAAAGGGTTAATTTATACTTCGTTCCAATGCTTGCTACGGTAAGAAAATACGATGGGTTTTCGACAGCTGTTAGATATAATTGTTGAAACGACAAGGGTGTTCTAATTGTGAATATGATAATTTAGGCATTGTTCGTTTCAAAAACAGTAGGGTATACCGTGCTCTCCACGGGAAACACTCGATCATTCCGAGGATAATCTCTTGATATTCATCCGAAAATCCCGAGTACGTTCGAAGCATCTTTGATTAAACAAATTCCTCTCTCTCGGCAGCGTCTTGAAAGCGGATGCGGATGTTCATAGGGTAAACAATAATTCAAGGAAAATGAAGTAAATTCTCGAGGAGCTAGAGGAAAGGGGGCAGGGAAATATACCGTCGAGTCCGTGCACGTTAACAAAGCGATTCTTTCGCAGGAGTTTGGAGTTTCCGTGTGCTGATGAAATTGGACGCGAGATTAACGCCGTCTATCTTGCGTCGGACCTATCCAAAGCGCGGTCGGCGGACTAAAGTTCACCGGGAAATCCCCAAGTTACAGGGAACGGCGATACTATTTCCTGCGTTAAGTGGTGGATTCCCGCAATGGTCAGACCGACAAGTTAGTTCCAGCAGTATCAATTGCTTAATAGCAGTCGGACGGTGACCGCTATTGTCTTAGCAGGGGCCGTCGAGATCACCGAACTCGCGTATACGTGCGAGCTGTATATTTAGCTCCGCGTACCTTGAACTTCCGCGAAACCTCATTAAAACTCGAAAAAATCGACCGACTACCGAAGGGAATCGCGTTGTACCGTTAACGAGATACCGGAGGCGCGTTAACGGTTATACCGGAACGCATCGTAACCGCGTTATTACAAATAATTTCGCTCGCTGTTCCTCTGGTTTCCGTAATAAGTAAAGCGAGTAACGATAGTGCAGTTCCTGGATTAGCCTCGCGCCGTTGAACATAGTCGGCGTTTGATTCGGAGGGAGCAACTAATGTGGAACGGAGGGCGTAACAAATCGGCATTGTCTGTGCAGCGACGTGAAATTAGGTCGCTATGACTGCTCGCCCTGTATACACGGTAATGAACAATATAACTTGGAATTGGAATTATCAAGTAGGAGGAAGAAGAGTAAAAGCAACCTAGACGAAGAACGATATGGCAGTTTATTGATTACCACAGACAAGGGAGGAAGCTTAGAAAATAAACGAGTTCGTGAACGATGAAATAAGCTTTTCAGTGTTATGATTCGAAAATACACGATGCTGCGGGCAAATCTCTTCTTTATACTTAGCTTCTACTGATCGCCTACGGAGCATCACAACTCTTACCCGTACATTCGTTAATCAAAGGAATGGATATTAACAATAAAAATACTTTTCTTCGTTTCGGATGGTTAGCTCAGCATATTCGTCATAGTTTGTTGATTGAACAAGTCCGATTGCACAGCATTTAGAAACATGGGGACGCTGTGTTGTCGTTGCAAGTATTGCTCCACCAAAGACCCTAACGTTGCCGAGAAAGCAGTCTCCAACAGGTCCACGCCTTCCTCCCCAATGTGGAAGAAGAGGAAATCTTCCGGGGACTCTGCGTACTGACTAGACAATTTGTAACGGCCTTCTTTCGTTCTATCCACCCTCCACCCGAACAGCTGATAACATGCTTGTCGGTATTCCTGAGACGACGCCTTGAAGGCGTCCTTCAAACGGGCTATCTTTATTTCGTGGGTCTGCTTGAGCTCCGCTATTTCTAAATATAAAAACTTTGCGAATAAAGCGTCCATAAAATATTATGTGAAAAAAGTAATTACCCTGTGCTTGCAGGGAAGATGCCGCTGTTGTGTTGGCACCCCCTTGCGCTAATTTCGCCCTGAGTTCTTCCACCTCGCGTATCAGCGCCATCTGTTTCTCTTCCGCCTGTTTCTCGGCAATGGCGGCAGGATTCATCGTGAAGTGCAACACCTTTGCATCGCAATTGAAATCACCCTTCAATGCCCGGTGCTCTAATTCACCTTTCAATCGATCGACTTCCTTTCGTAGTTTAGCACATTCGTCCACTTGGTTGTAACCCTCTACTGCCTCGAGATTAGACTCTAGTTTCGCAACTAATTCCCTACAATTATGAACACCCTTTATATAAATTGGTAACAGTGATTAGTGCTGTTACTAGAGTTACATCCCTAACAGGAACGCTAGGAACCATGATTTTGAAATATTATTTAAAAAAGCACTAGAAAAATGTGACTTCTGTATTGTAATTAAAATACCTATAAGCGTCTATAGTGCGTTCCAAAGCTGGAATTCTTTCGGTTATCGCATTGTTGCCATCTACGCTAATTTCCTTCTCGTATAAATCCAGTTGCTGTCTATAACTATCCCGCTCCCTCGTCAAGAAAACCATTTTCTTTTGCAACCTGCTCGCTAGTCTACTTAATTTCTCTTTCGAAACTGTTATATCTGTGGCCAATTTTTTAGCATCCTCGTAACTTTTCGTTAGATTCTGGTTTTCTCGTAATGTGGCGTCCAAACGTGACTTCAACTGGCCCTCTTCCGCTTTTAAGACCAATTCGGCTTGTTGCAAACGATTTAATTCGCGTTTCAAGAGAGATGGTCCGCCGTTGATTCCAATCGATTCGTATTCCGACAAACGTAACGACAATTCCGTATTTTTAGCTTCTAATGTTGCTACTTGCTGTTCCACTTTCTCTGTATATTCTAGTTTTTTCATTATATTAGCCATTTGCTCCTCTAACAGTAATTTCCCTCTAACCGATTCCCTCAGTGAGGTGATAGTATCCTTTGCTACACTGAGCTCTTTCTCAAGCTCGCTTGCTTTTGCTGCTCTTGCTGTTAATATCTTTCCTTCCTCCCATAATGCCTTTTCAGATTCGAGTCTCTCAATTTTTATTTTCATACTTTGAAGTTCAACATTTTGTAATTCTAATTCCTGCTGTTTGGTCTGATATTCTTTCAGTCTTTCTTCCAATTGTGTTATTCTTGTTTGTGCTGTCTCAAATTTTGATTGGACATCTGATGATTCAATGACATCTCTTAACACCGTGGGACTTTCTTGTTTAGGAGTGTGTTTGAAATCATCCATCAATTTGGCATTTTCATTCATTAATGCCATTGTCTTCTGCTCCAAACTTGTTTTTACTTGGAATAGTTCTTTTTCTGCCATAGCCTGTGCATCACGTGCATCTTGAATTGTTCTGCGGGCAATATCTAGTCTTACTTCTAGCTGTTTGACAGTTTGTTTTTCTTGATCCATCTGCATCTCTAAAATACTTTTCTCTTTCTCAAAAACTTCTTCCATTTGTCTACGTATTTTATGAAGTTGCTGCACTGCAGCTTCTTGATGGGACAATCTTGTTTTTAATGATACAACTTCACCCTTTAGTCTCCTCCATTCCCATGGACTACCTGGCACAGTTTCTGTTTCACTTCTATTCAAAGTAGAATTAATTGAATCATCAAGTCTTGGTCTCTTAGGTGAAATAGTACATCCCTCATGTTCGGTAAGTGAGGGAAATGCAGTTCCTGACAATCGCAATGATAGGCTACTACTGCTTTTACGATAGGCCTCGGATCCTGATCTTAAATCCTTAATCATTTTAATCACACTAGTTGGATCTTTGTCATCCATCTGAAGTAAACAATTCTAAATATTATTTTTTGTTCCTTATTTACATGTACAAAACTATATAACATTAATGGTGAAACTTACCTTGACAACTATGCAAGTGTACTGTTAGGAAAGTGTTCAAATATAAAATCTCGAGTGACTTGATTGCAGTTTAAGTATATAAACATACATCCAACCATGTGGTTAGAATGTATGTACTGCACTGTACTGTTATACTTTTAAATTATTACAAGTACAACTATGGAAACAATATTCAGTGTTTTGTTCTTAGACTTTTCTTATAATTTTCCGAGTTAAAACTTGCAAATATCATTACTGTAATTGACGTATCCCAAGACTACATTTTATAACGGCATGATATCTCTATACTACAATTCCACTAAGTTCCTTATTCTATGGTGACTCATGATGTTACTAACAATCTACTATATCTAGGGTAATTATAATAAAAGCATTTTTAAAAAATGGTACATATTTTGCAATATATTGATTACATGAAAGTAATGTGCATGAAAACATAATACGTCGAAGAACGTCATTCAAACGTTACCTAATTATTGTAGTACAAAATAAAATGGCGGCGATATACTCGCCTTAAACACACTAATCGAGTTACAATAATTACTTCTTTTTAATATAGATATGCTTTATTAAGCTACAAGAAAGCATATATTGAAGAATAATCTCAAATTATTTCAAATTTTAGGTTTATTCAACTGTATAAAACATGTAAACTCAGAGGAAATTCATAGCAAAAATAGACATATTACACATAATACTTCAAGATAATGAAACAGAAATAACGGGTGAATCAGATTATTCATTAAATTTCCGTTATATTATAATTTATGATATTTAAATTTATAACACTAAACATCATTAAAAGGACCCCTGGTGCCATCTACAACAAAAGGCTGAAGCTTTGATATGATATAAACCACAGACTTTGAGAAATCTCTGTATGTCCATTATAACGATTTTAATTAATAAAATTGCCATTTTTAACGAGCAATATTGATTGAAAAGGATGCAATAAATAATTTTAAATTATTAAAATAATGATTGATCAACAAATTGTTAACGTTTACATTGATTACTTTTTGGTCGGTAACATGACATATTTGGTTCACAGAAATTGTTATTCATATCTAATTCGGTTTGCTGACTCAACAAATAATTATAGATGAATGAAAAGTGAAGTACTGTTAAGTATTTTCAGTCGAAAGTAGCTTTTAAAAACATGCCTGGGTCATGATTGTTTTGATGCCGAAAGATCAATATGGCGACTTCCATAGAATATTAAATAAAAGTGAAGAATTCTGTTATAAAGTTGAAGTTTTGTAATAAATTTCATACGAAAGTTTAATAATTCACTATTAAACATACTTATTATAATATAATAACTGTCCATAATGTTTAAATACAAGAGGTGAAACACCATCATTCCAGTACGTTTTCTTCCAATGTTGTGTGTACATCAGTAAACATGTGCACTTATTCTTCATGCTTAATTGCTAACATTTGACATTTATATTAATGCCTTATCGCCTGATAAAATAAAATTATCAAAAATGTATGGTTTAATTCGTATACTTTTTTTCTTTCAGTTGTTATTAAAATGCGTGACGAATCACCGTATAATAGTAACAAATAAAACCGTGTTAATGTTAACAAAAAATGTTGCAACACCGTGCATTATCGAGAGATAAAGTATTGTTTCGTATTTTAAAAAATAAAAGCCCGAATGGTAGCATCATATGCGAGAAACTGGTATCTATCAATAAATAGAATATATACTTGTTTTCTGTTCCAATACATATTTATTTCATACTACATTCCTTATGCGTATACTTGTATACACATACATTTATCAGTTTTTGAGATAACCCTTCTATCAAATTAACGAGTAATATGGTTTGTTTCAATGTTTTAATAACAGAATAAGAAAATTATTGACAATAAGTTCTTATTTCAGAATAACAATGTGAAAAACATTGTTGTATTATCAGAGGATGAACTCTGCGAGCTATGGCAACACATGAAGACCATGCTACTAGAGGCTCAAAAATTATGTACTCAGACATCAAAGAATCAGAGTAAATATGCAAAAGTAAGATCATCTGTATGAAAACAATTGACAATCTGTATTAACAATTTGTTGTATCTTAAATATATTTTTTTAATCATTATTTTAGGAGTACAGTCTCATGATTAAACTAATACGTACAATAACTGCAATAGCACTTGAAACAATTGTACAACGAATATTTATTCCTAATGTACTTCTACAAAATGTAATGTTGTTGCATTCCAATGTGCTGCCCAATATAAATGATAAACAGGCAAAAAATGAAATATCTTACCTGTTAGAAAACTGGTGGAAATTAGATATGACATGGAGGGAAAAGGTGGTAAAAAATGTAGTTAAATATCTCATTCAAGGATGCAAGACATCATTGGTATTTACATATTAATATACGCAAATGACATTTCTACTGATGATGTGTGTAATGTACATATATTTTAATATATGTCATTGATTATGTTTTTAGCAACATGTAAAACGCTTGTATGAGATAAGGTCTGCTATTACACTACTAAAATGTACAGAAGATGTGCAGCAATTGCTTAAACTTGTACGAGAAAACACTGTGATGTCACTCGAAGAAGGTCGACTATTGATATTACATTTGTTTACTCTGGGGGAACAGTACATATTGGTACAAACTATAATTCTACAGTAACTTTCCTTTCTTTGGAAAAGAGAAAATAAATTAACAATATAATTATTTCAGGGAATTCACAATAATATAAAGGTTGTTTTACAAAATGTAAAAGATAGTTACATCACTGGTTATGCAAATTTATATGTGTCTGCATGGCAAAACGCGACAGTGAAGTTAAGAAAATTCATTGTGGAGAATTGTTTCCAAAATATCATTTTTCATTGTTTTCGTGCTTATAGAGATTCTATAGGACAAAGGAAGCTTGGTAAAAACCTGCTTTTATTTCTTGCTGCCATTCATGAACATAAAAATAAAGCAGCAAGAACAATGATTCATAACCAGTGCAAACCTTTACTCTGGAAACATTTGAAGGTATTAATGAAACATAATACGCATACATGCAATCATCGGTAAACAATAAACGAAATTATTTCACAGGCACCCGGTTCTTACATTAAATGCAATGCAGTGGAGATTCTATTTATAACAAGTATTGCGCAGTATACATGTGCGGCGAAAGATAGAAATAGATTTTTCCTTCAAACATTTTATAAGACAATAAATGATCTTTTAAATGACACTGATCACGAAGTGCGCAACGTTACCATGATTGTAAGATAACTTATGCCCGTGTCATATTAAATTTTAGGATACTATAGTCTTCCTATGTACTTACTAATATTTTGCAATTCTAACCATCGCTAGGGTCTCTTGAGACTATTAGAAAAGCATTGGAATTGTGTACCACACAATATTATTCGTAATTGGTTAAACGTTTTACTGCATTACACGAAATGTGCTAATAATGCGGAAATCAGAGCAAACGTCTTTATTGGTTTGAAACAAATATTAATTAAGGATCGATCTCATAGAATACTTAAAGACTTTTTACCAAATTTCGCGAAAAGTATTTACGATGAAGATAAGACTGTTGTGGAAGCATTAATGAAACTTCTTTGGCATGCCCAAAATCAACTTGACATACCATTTTGGGATATTGTACCGCTGACGTACGTTCTCGATCAAATAGAGGTGTATATTAAATACTTTATTCACGTAAAAAATTATTTAGCAACATAAGTAATCATAAATATTAAGTTCCGCGAACATTTTCAGAGAACACAAGACACATCTTTACTCCAAGAATTAATAAAGTTTCTTTGGTTACGTATATGTCCGAACGGTTCAAGTAATGATAAAATAGCAGAAGAAATAATATATATAGGAATGAATAATATTAAAGCAATTAGGAGGTTTTTCCTTCATTCTAAGTCCGTTATCGATTCGAGCATGTTCGCACAAATAATCGAACGACTGTTGTCCGAAATAAAGAAAGAAATGGAATGTATTCAAATCTCGAAAACATCGAGGAAAAGATGCACGAAAAAAATTAAGTTGAACCATAAAGGAAATAAAGAAACCGGTAATAGCATACGTCATTGCAATATGCACAGCATTTAAATTAACACGTATTATCGTCTTAACAGAGAATCTGAATAATTGGGAAGAAGATGATCTGGATAGCTACAGAGATATACAAATATGTATCGATGTTATTGCTATGTTACTAGTAGCAAATGTGAGCAATTTAGATGACAATAATTACAGTGAAAAAGAGATCAAAATCATGCAGTCCATTGCAAACGTTTTACCAGAATTTTCTTCATATTTTAAGGTAAACTTCTGAAAATCGATTTTTCACTCGCAGTTCTTATCGCGTGAACTTTTACAGGAAACCCCGGTTAACGACTCAATTATATTCATATTTTCATTAATGCCAACCAAATATTTTATCAATAAGATCGAGGTAATGGAAAACTTAGCGCAACAATTATGTAGTACAAATACTTCCGACGATACACTTCTCTCGCTTATACACGTTTTCATAAAGTGGAATAAGGGGCAAATGATTTTCCTCGCGTTAACTAATCTGTTTGGAGAATCACTAAAGATAAATACACCTAACAACCAGGTACGAGTAATACATAAGAAATACATTAGGAATGATATATATATATATTGATACTAATAAGTTAGTGCTTCAGGGTTTTTGCGATTCACAGGATGTCTTTACGGTGAACGTGAAAGGCTTAGAGTTGAGCCTGCGTATATTGAAACACTTATTGCACGTTGAATATCAGTCAGTTTTAATGAACAAGTATCATCAAGACGTACTTAAGTTTTGGGAAACTTTGCACATGTTGAGAACTGTTACGGAAAAAATGTTAAGCAATGAATGCAATATAAGTAGTCTAATATCCAAAGACTTGGTTGTGAAGTTTTTTAAAGAATATTTATCAATGGTCTCGTTGTTGCACAAGAGAGATGTGTTTGACGCATCGGAACATTTCTCGGAAATTCTGTTGTGGATCAAAAAGTACGTAGAAAAAGATCAGGCGTATATTTTCTTTATAATATTGGAATATTCTAACGTGTGTGAAATTTTTGAACGTAGGTCAATAATACCACATATACCGCATCTGGATGTAGATATCGAAGGCCGAGAAATTTGTATAGATTTAATAAAATGTACTCTCGATACCTCGAATCTGCTGATAAAAGAATATAACAGTACCCCAAAGTTATGTTGTGATATAGTACTTTTATATTGTAGTTGTTTGTCTCCTGTGGGAGGTGTTGTTTTCTTGAACAACGCATTCGATGCAATATTGAAATTATTAGATTTTGGTAAAATGGCTTTCGACAATAACGAACCGAATTTATTAGATATCATTGTACCGAATTTCGTATGCGTCACGATGGTTACCTTGACTAGGTATAACGAAGACGTTTTAGCCAAACACACAGATGTAAGTGTTTAAATGAGTGCAAACCGAATAGATGATCCCTGCATTGAATTATTTCATGTATCAACTGTTTCAGAATTTAAAAGTAATGCATGAACTGACAAAAAAATATTTTTGTATTATTAAGAGTACCTTTAACGACGAAAAGATGTGTCTCCCCTATATTACCATTCTGTTTAACACCGCGATCAGCAGTATAAGCACAGAAATGACTTGCGTGCTCCAAAATACGTTTGTTAAAGAGGAAGATATTTTAATTACATCCTTTCCTTATTTGGCGAAGAAGATATTAAAAATCATCTTAAATACAAAAAAATACCAAACACTGAGTGTTCAAGTGCTAACAAAAACAATAACAAGTTATACAAAAGTGTGTATGTTATGTTCTGTGAAATGTGTAGTACCATATGTACATAATTTACTATATGCAATGTTATGTTTCAGATCGACACACTTTCGGCGCTAGTAATAATGTATAAAATGTCTAAGTTGCCAGACAAGGCACTTAGCAATAGACTTAAAAATATTACTTTGGCATTCAAAGTACACAACCAAGATCAATCTTATGATACCCCTTTCGACAGGTACATTCAATTTTATATTTGATACTCCTAGTAACTATATACTCAGAATGAACAACCTTACCTTTTTAGATCCATACAAAGTGCAATAATCATAGCCATCGATGCGATATTGCAGAAGTAATTCACTGATGCCACACTGAACAGAACTATAACACATCAGGATATATTATTCATTTAAAAAAAAATGTACTTTAAGTACAAAACAAATTTCGTGCAATCAGAGCTAAAAAATTTTTATGTTATTTACTTACTCTCCACGATAAAAAGAAAAATATATTTAGTTATATATTTTTACATGTTATTAAAGAATATTTTTGTATAAAAAACAAAAAGTACAAAAGTTATGCAACTGACAAATACAAACGGGACTAATGTATATAGTCGGTAAAATAAAGATTCTACAGATTATTCCTAAATTTATATAAATATATATTTTGTTTACAACCGTTATATAATAATACTTTATACAAATTGTCATTCTCCTTTATGTATTACTTTTTTACATAAAAGATTTAGACAAATTACAAAGTATATAGTTACCACAACAAGTATTTGTTACATATTTATACAATTTTGAACCTGGTCCTTTTTATCTTCGCATACTAATCAACCGGAAGATGTTATATTCCTCATTTGCCTAACAGCAGCAACAACTCTGGCATTGCAACCAGAACTGCCATTTTGATAATCTTCGGGTGACAATCTCAATAAAACGGACATATGCTGTAAATTTTCTGACAAAGACAAACCCAGTTCCTCCAACACATTACCAAGGTAATCTATAATATATTTTTGGCATTATAATTTAAACAAATATACGTTTAATTAGTATACTGCATTTGTTTACACACCTATGTCGGTAGCAAGTTGTTTGCATGCGGCAGAAGTTAATTGAGAAAGTCCTAAAGTTTGATCCAGAAACATTTGACATATTCTTTTAGCGATAATATCTAACAAAATACCAGTGAATCCAGATTCGGTTGAACCTTGCGCGTACTGCGGATCCGCTGCTTTTAATGCTAGTGTAAGGCTCGGATTTTCTCTGAGCAAAAACGGTTCTAAATGCTGTGGCAATGTCATTAAATACTGTCCAACTTGTGTTATATATTCCTGAGGTGAAAAACTGTAATCCGGTAAGTCTGCACTTAACTGACTTAATCTACTTGCGTCTGTTGACCACGCGGGTGCCTTTTGCACCAATAGTAATTGAGTAAAGATAGGAGCAAAAATCACTTCGTACGTTGCTCTGTGTAAATCTGAGCAAAGTTTGTGAATAGATTTCATAATTGAATCAAGTATAGTTGTTTCTTCTGAAAACAAATAATGATGACAATACTGAAAGCAATATCACTTCTTTAAGAAAGTTTGTCATTACCTTTCTGAAAAGATGCAACTAAGTTTTCTAATTCAGTTTGGCTCGATGAATTCAAAAGAAATTTCTTGTACTGATAAAAAACACTAACTGCTGTACTTTGTAGTTTGTTGTTAGTTTCAGTTATGTCTATTACTAAAGATTTTTCGAATTGTTGTACTTGTCCCAATAGGTCACCTGAAGTAATGACATTATGCATAGCAATGTTTTTCTAAACTTTTCAGGACGAAAAAAATCGATACTGCATATTACCTATACTCTGCATTAAAGTAAGACACATTTGGAATAAATTCCAGTCCTCGTGCTTTACTTTTTTCCGTTCTAATTGCCATACAACTGCTTGATATTTTTCGAGATATTTTTTAAAATAACTCTATAAAAATAGAAGACAATGTAATCATATTTCATAAAGATATGATTTTCCATTGAAAAAGGATTTCTTTAAAGAACATACATTTAAGGACTTTAATAATCCAGGGTACCCACAACCATCTGTAAAAAGTTTGCACCTTTTGTTTGCCTCATTCGCATATTCCATTATTCTAGAAATACTAAGAGAAAGTGAATTGATCGTTTCACTTAAATCATCTTGCGCAAAATCCATAGATCGAAGCTGATGTTCAAGTTGTGCAGTCTCATAGACATTATACCTTACAATATATGGAACATAAGGTGCATATATTGCTTGAGCTAAGGCAAGCAATTTTTGATTATGTAATTTTCCTTGTAATGATGCATCAATAGCACCATATAAATTTACTGCAAAGTGTCTTGTAATTTGCTTAAGTTCAAGCAATAGAGACAATTGCATGGCATTTGAATGTTGCTTTAAAATAGCTTCTATACATTCTGGAATGCCGGGGTCTAAACTTTTCAGGAGATCAGCATATACCTCAACTAAGATATCAATCGAAACATTTGGAAACACTTGATGACACCACTTCACCTTTATTGGGATTATACCACTTTAGGAACTACTCAATATTAAAATTCCTTAAGTACTACTCATTTAGATGCAATAAAGGTACCTGATCATGCCAACTAGATAACAGCTTATCATAATAAGTATGTAACCAGTATGTGACATTTTCATCCTGTGCTAACTCAACAGTTCTGCGCCATTCTTGCCCTAAAGACACCTTCAAACAATTGTGATAGTACTTCAACAGTTGTGGCAAACGTTCCATTTTATTAAAAATGTCCACATAAACTTTGGCTTGTTCTAAACATTTTATTGTGACAAGATTAAATAGGTATCACATGTGTGAATTTGTCTCATAAATAAATATAAATTACCCAAATTTGCAGCAGTGAATGCCTGAACTAATTTTGGACTCGCCATTGCTTCTAGTCGATTTTTTAAACCTTCTAATTGTAATCTTTTATCCTCATAATCAACAACATTTAAAAGCATTCCCAATGATTTCTGCATACTAAACAATTTATTTGCAATAGCTTCCACATCCCCTGACTCGAATACCTGAAATATTGGGTCTGGTATAAAGAAATGAACTAAGAAAATCCTCTTTGTTTTCCTATATCTTATATACCTCTTCAACATCATTTGCTAATACACTCCAATTGTCAGCCTCGTGTAAACCCTGTTTAGCAGTTTGCAAATCTGTTTTTATCCTATCCATTCTTTCTAAAGTTGCCATTGAGGATGCAGTATCTTTCTCAGCCTAATTAGTAAATTTAATCTATATATAGTATACAATTACCCAATTAATTCTTATAGGATATTAAAAACCAAGACCTTTTCAATTTCTTGTTTAACAACCACCATTTTTTCTCTCAGAGCTAATGCTTCCAATTGCAAAAGCTGCGTATCCCTTAAAACCCTGGGTAAACTTGAAAGGACAGACTGACTGGTTTCTTCTAGGGCACCATTGACTTGTTGCACGTATAATTGCAACTTCATTACCAAAGATGAAACAAACGCCTATTCCAATGATATTTTATGATAAATATTTAGATGGAATGAATTTCTACATTTGAAGTAGAATAAAAGCTTCACAAACTCAAGATTTAATGGAAAAATTAGAAAAAAAATAATTTCAATGCTCTGCCAATCGTTATCTCGTCAAATAAGAACGAACGAAGTTCCAAAATACATTTTCCGATTATTCGGTACAATGCCGTCATTAACTTCACGTTAAAAAAAATATATCTTCCAAAGAAAGTGCACGGAGTCATTGACCGTGGTGCAATGGAAGCAGTCAGTTTTGTGACCGACTGCATCAGTGTAGTAGAAATTTAAAAATTGTGTCGAGGAACGAACGAAAACTAGCGCAATCGAGATTATTATAACAATATACAACTTACATCTTTGTTCTCTTGTGCTTCGGCGGTTTTAAACGTTTTATTGATCCAATCTTTAACGTCGAAAGTATCCTCGGAAAACGCGGACACATCCTGAAACCGTCGTTTTGAGGTTAGAAATCAATCGTTTCTGCGTTCGAAAAATTCCTTCGACGTTCGCCGAAGTCATGCAAAAACTCTCGGAAAATTCTTCGACTCGTTTCGAGTCCTCTTTGCCGCGCAAAGACAGAATCGACGATCGTACGAAATTTTCACGGAAAAGATAAACTTGTCGAAGCTGCTGACATTTCAACGCTGCTTACCATATCAAAATTCCGTGTACGAGACGGACTGTCAGATACTTTCTCGCCAATGGAAAAAAAAACAATGAGATCCGAATACACGAACGATTCAGCGCGGTGAACAGTACCGAGTAACGATCAGTTTCGAAATCTATTGCCCCGCTCGTTTTTGCTACTTTTTCTTTAGCGGCGCATAGCGCAGAAGTGCTTCGCCGTTGGACCACTTTACTGCACACAATTCCGAGTTGCTTCGTGGCTCGAGAGTTGGGGACCCGGAAGGACACGACGGTTCTTATCGTTCACCGGATTGCGACGGTTCAAACCGTTCCGAAAATTCTCGTCCGACTCGCATCGTTAAGTATACACCGTACGTTGCTCATGATAAGTGTTCGCGGCTCGTAATGGCCGGATCGATCGTGCGAATCTTGTACACAATTTATTTCTCAACGACGATCCGCGGGACTGGGCTACCGTCTGTTCCGTTCAGTCCGCGCGGAACGTAACGACGACCGCGGAGAACTCTCGAACGGCGTATGAATCTTGTGCGACGCGGTTTACGTGGTGTGCCTTGGCGAGGGAGAACTAAAGAGGATCGTCGAAAGTAAGACAAGTGGTAAACGGTCTTAGGCGATAATCGTGATAAAGAGGACTTCTGTATCTCGGATTCCAGACGAATTTCGAGGACGCCTCGGGGTGGGTTCGTGGACGTTCGGCTCGGTTCAACCCCACGCGATCATCGGCCGTTTCTCGTGACACGATCCACGTCCCTGGATTCCAACGAACTGCCTACCAGGAGGTAGGCGGCAATTCGAAAGGGGAAAAGGGAGAGAAAATGGAGAACAGCATGTTATCGGCCGCTTCCGGGCCCTTCGTTACTCGCCACGCCCCCAAAACTGCGTTTGCGCGTCACGGTTCGCGCAACAGTTGGAACTTGGGAATTTCGTCTCCGCGAAATCAGCCTGGCTCGCGACGAAAATAAGGAAACCTAGCCGAGCGGAACCGCGACGCAACTGTACTTTGCCCTTTTCCTTGCGAACGTTGAACGCGTCGTGCAAGGCTACCTACCTCCTGGGTTTTGCGTTACACCCGGTCGTATACGTGCAGCACACAGGGACGCTCGCGCGAGCATACGCTTGTACGTTTTTTTCTCTTCTCTTTTTTTTTTCTTTTTCGTTCCTTTCGCGTACGAGTTACTAGCGTGGTCTTACTACGTGCATCGTATGGATTACCCAAAGCGTAGACCACGACGACTCGAGCCTACTCCATTTGCGGACTGCGGATCTTTATGCGTTTCTCCCTGAGAGGAGGAGAAGGCTTTCGAAATGCAAACTAAACGTCACGACGAGTTTTAATCTGTTATCTTGTTTTGAGATCTGCCTGCGAAAATACAGATTTGCATAACCGACCGCAATTGAATCATTCATGCTTCGCACGTGATTTACTGTTTGCATCGGATAGACATCTTTTGATAATTACACGGGATAGAATTCATCTCGCCGATTTATTAACCTTGAGGTACGCGAGCAAGGTCAACGCCCCGAGTAATTTCGCGTGTACCAGTATATAGAACCGTAGGTCACATTTCGTCTCGGAGATAAATATATTTTCAACAGCATCGTAAGGTCGTAATTACCGGACGTGCTCGATGTTTGTTTACATTCCGTATTCCATGGTAATTGTTCATCTACACACCCGCGTGAACCTTAAATATTTATCTATTGATATTATCGTAACACGATGTAATTGTGAAACTAAATCCGAGCAACGGTTATAAGCACAGAAAATTATCCAGAGCGTTGACCTTGACGAAATACTTCGAGATCATTGAAATCTACGAGGTGGACCCTATTCTATACAATTAGCCGTGTTTCTTTTTGCCCCCCTTATCGTCGGTTCGGAACTAAATCCTCGAGGCTCGGCGTTCACACGCGCGGAAATTATTCTTTCGCGTAAATTCAGGCCTTATTACGGACGGCAATCAGGTTCAATCAGCGCAGCGTATTAGAAGCGTATGCGTTTAATGTCGTGCATAAAGCGCCTCGATCGGACGTCCAATTTTGTAATCTTGCCGTGCATACGAATGCGTGCCGCCGACGGATCGCCCTTCAATTCAATCGGCACCGGAACGTTTCGAAAATCACGATTTCCTCCGATCTCGCGCGGAACTCGCCACTTCCGTCCTCTGTCGTTCTTCGTCCTCCTCTTTCACCGAATCTTCGCGGTTTCATAATTTTACCATGACAGGTTTTCGAGAAATGGCAAAATTATGGAACCGGCGCTCTAATATGGAAAGATCATTGTACCTTGCCCCAGGACGGCTATGCGATCCACGGGCTCGTAGGAAGGGCAAGAAGTGTCCTCGACCTTGAGACACGAACCAGCCAATCCTAAGCCTTCGCTTGCCGGCTGTGGGCACGGGATTGGCTACACATGTTCTCCACGGTACCAACCGCTTCCGACTGTTTCCGGTTCGGACTTCTGCAAACCGATTCGCCAGAGAGCAGACATCTGGTGAGTTCAGAAAGCAGGTAACGTCTACATTTTCTCGTCTGTCTATTCTGCTCCTGACTTCCGCAAAGCACTGTCCCTCTATTAACGCACTGTCAATCAAGCAAGCAAGCAAGCAAAGCAAGCGACTTGCTGAGAATAAACGAATTTCGAGCAGTTATTAACGCGCGACAAAGTGTTCACCGACATCCTCAAGCTTTGGCTTAGCTCTGGTTACGCGTCGATCAACCCTGCGCTGAGCAATGCAATGGGAAACTGTTCGTCATCGGTTGTGTAGCACAGGAGATCGTTTCCCATCAATCAATCTGAAAAGCGTTTCGGTAACAGGCCTTTGGTTTTGGTTATTCGCCGGCTGTGATACATTACATGGGACCAGCCAAATCTTTCGTTGCGCAAAGCCACACCATGCTTCCACGCTCCAAGCTTCTGCGTTCACTGGCGTACTCGGAGAACCCTCAGACAATTACTCACAGGATTCAGAGCGAGTACTTGTGCCTAGGGTAAATGACTCCCTAATGCACGAAATTTCTGTTAACCGTCAGCGTTCCTTTTCCTTAAAAAAAGCGACAAGCTACCGCGATACGCTGCGCGTTAAGAGGCTGATCATCGCTGTGCTCCGTAGCGTCTGCATTTCTATGTTGCGACGAATCTCGCCGGCAAATGGCGGCTCCCGTCGAGCAGCCCTTGTACCGATTTTGTTTTGATTCGATCGAACTCGCCCCTTCCCCTCCGGGTGGCAGATGAAAAACCATCTTCGCTGGAAGTACCGGGGGCTGATAATAATTCAACGGTCGAGCCCACGTAACCCCATTTAATTCTGCAGCCCGCGGAAACTTCCGAAAGACAATCAACGGCTTCGTCTGGCACTTCGCAAAGTAAACGTTGGCCGGATGAAATTAATGATCTTCCTTCAATCTCGTTTGATTACAGGCCTCGTTCGTGGATCCTCCGGCGCCTGCACACCTCCGCCGTGCACCTACCCACACGCCCCGAACCGTCCATCGACTTTTTCTTTTCCCTCCTTAACCTTCCGCCGAGATTTTCCACGGGAATAACCGCGACAGAGGGATAGGAACTAATTCGGTCCGCTTCGCGATGGATTGTAACGCGCTCCGTTTTGCCCGCGGATCGCGATCGACCGTTCCAAGGTAACAGGTCTTTAACCCGGCCTACGCGGTGTATCGGGAATCGCGGAGGATCATTGAGCCGC